GGGCTGACATCCCAGGCGCATGTGCAAAATTTTTAGTTGCCACGTCGACCTGGTGCCTGGGATTTGTCGAGCCCTGTTGTAGGGCATGTTCAAATGTGTTTTAGTGTGGGGGATAAGGGCAGTATTGTGTGAGATAGTTGCTTTGATGAGGGGGGATAAAGGAAGTATTGTGTGGGATTTAAGCTTTATTGTGATGGGAACAGGGGCTGTATTGTGGGGGATTGGGGCTTTAGTGTAAGGGATAGGGGTAGTATTGTCTGTGATTAGGGCTTATACACACACACTCTGCATCCACCACACACACACACTCTGCATCCACAACACACCGCATTCACTGTACACACACTCTGCATCTACTATACACAACCTTCACATCTACTATAAACACACTGCATCCACTACGCACACACACTGCATACAATCTGCATTCACTATACAAAACACACTACATCCTCTCTGCATCCATTATAAACACACTGGTGTATAATGGATTTTAATGGTAAATTTTCAATCTGTACAGAGGTGGCAAGTGGTGTCCCTCAGGGTTCTGTTTTGGGACCCCTTCTCTTTAACATTGAAAGTCATGTTTCAGTGTTTGCAGATGACACAAAACTCTGTAAAGTAATACAATGTGAGCAAGATATTACCTTGCTGCAGAGGGATTTAGATAGACTGGGCACTCAAATGGCAGATGAAATTTAATGTTGAAAAAGGCAAAGTTATGCACTTCGGCATAAAGAATGCACAAGCAACGTATACCCTTAATGAAAGCAAATTAGGGATAACAACACATGAAAAGGACTTGGGAATTGTTATAGACAACAAACTATGCAACAATGTGCAATGTCAATCAGCAGTGGCAAAGGCCAGTAAGGTATTGTCATGCATGAAAAAGGGCATTCATTCTCGGGATAAGAATATAATTTTGCCTCTTAATAAATCACTGGTAAGACCACATATTGAATATGCTGTGCAATTTTGGGCACCTGTTCTAAAGCAGGATATTATAGCACTAGAAAAAGTGCAGAGGCGGGCTACAAAATTAATAAAAGGAATGGAACATATCAGCTATGAAGAAAGGTTAACAAATTTAAACCTCTTTAGTTTAGAAAAAAGTCATCTGAGAGGGGATATGATAATATTATACAAATGTATTCAGGGTCAATACAAACCATTATGCGGAAATCTATTCACAAACCAGACTTTACATAGGACACGAGGTCATGCATTTAGACTGGAAGAAAGAAGATTTCGTCTAAGGCAAAGAAAAAGGTTTTTTTACTGTAAGAACAATAAGGATGTGGAATTCTCTGCCTGAAGAAGTGGTTTTATCAGAATTCATACAGATGTTCAAACAGCAACTAGATGCATACTTGCAAAAACAGAATATTCAAGGATATAATTTTTCAATGTAGGGTAATAACTGCTTGATCCAAGGATAATTTTCTGACTGCCATTCTGGGGTCAAGAAGGAATTTTTTCCCTTGTTTGTTGCAAGTGCTTCAAACTGTTTATTTTTGCCTTCTTTTGGATCAACAGCAAAAAACAAATGTGAGGAAGGCTGAACTTGATGGACGCAAGTTTCTTTTTAGCTATGTAACACTGCATTCACTACGTACACACACACACTATATCCTTGTGGGAGGACTCAGGATGATCCCTATGGCCAAACCCAGAGCTGAGCCTAGGAACTCAGACCTTGACCTGTGTAAGGGGCCCCATTATTTGTGATGGCAGCTCTGAGTACTTGTGGTGTATGTTCTTTCCACTACAAATCCACACCATTTCTGAGGAGCTCATCTCTAGGATTATATGAGTGAGCGTGTGTGAAGTCAGATAGCTCCATTCAGGAAAAGATATGAAAGGTGCTTTGCAGCCAGCTGCACAGTAAGATCTATAACTGTGCACAGGAAAATCATTCGGGCAGTGGTTTATGGGATATAAGCATCTCTTCCATTAAAAACAATAGCACAGTGAGTATTAGGTGAAAGCTTAAAAACACTTACTAGACAAGTGAGGGTTTAATCCAGAAGCTTCCAATCGTAGCAACTTCAAAGTTGATTATCTTCTTTTACATGTTTTAATACAGTATATATATTATGCATTGCACAATTGGGTTCAACTGTAACCTGTAGTGTATCTTTAAGAGCAGAGTACTACTTATATATGCTTAAATGTACTATTTCGTTAATCTAGACCAGTAACTATTTATAGATATTTGCTGTTTTTTGCTCTTTTTTTTTCTAGAGCATGTTCTGCAGTCCACACTGTACTATAGGTTCATTGCATTTGTTGGAATTATGCCTGTGACCAATACATTCTATTTCATTCTATTGCTTTTATCGTGGACAACCCACAGTTTCAAGTGCAGATTTAATCTGTCCGGTTTCTCTTCTAAGTTTTCTGATTTCAGTTTTTTTTGGATAGGCTCCATCTTCATTAAAGGCTTACATCGTGGCTGGGTTGTTAAAGCTGTTGCTTCTATAGAAAGTAATGTTGTTTCCACACTGTCCAGATGTTTTTTATGTTCTGAAGTGCAGTCAAGTTTGAGTGCAGCTCATGTTTTCTTGTATGTAGTTGGCAAGTACAGCTCAAGAACCAGAATAGTTTGAAATCACTGTTTCTCAAGATTCATTTTAGACTGCTCTTGATCTTTTTGCTGCAGACACACCTTTAGCTGTGCCAGTCTGGCTGTATGAGCTCTGACAACATATTACCTGTAATTTATTCCGATTCCGTTATAACCAAATGTCTGCTGAGTGCACAAGAAGCCTTTAAACAGTAAAAAAATATTTTTAATGTAAAAACTACACAAGGACTCCCAGTCTCCCATTAACCAGGCAGGATCCAAAGAAATGATTCCACATCAACACTTACGTGATGGTGAGTGTTAAAAACATGGTGTGACGAGAGCAATCTCGCCACATTGCATTGGAGAAGCATGGTTGCTCGCCTGTTGCCTTTGGATTATGGCCCCATGTTAAAAGGCTTGATTTTCCCCTGCAAAGACAAGAAAGCCGGGTCATTTGGTGCTTGCCCTGTTTGAGTAGTGATACCCCAGATAGCTATGCCATGGAGCCCATTCGTATAATGAAAGACTATGGGAAAGACTTTGGCTCCATGGCAATTGAACTGTATGTGTGTGCTCTGAGCGCCATTCAGTAATAATGTGCGCTCAGACCTAAGCTATTTGGGCATATGTTGCATGTCTGTATTTTATGTCATAAATGTAACCTTGTGTATTTTATTGTATTTTACTGTCTTTTTGCTGCCATGTGTTCAATGGAGTTTTGCCTCTGTCTTTGGAGATAATTGGATTACTTCTAATTATCTCCAGGATAGACTCTGTGGAACTGGTTTTGGGCAGAAAAGCCATGCTTCCTGTGGTCACAAAGGACTACGATCTATCTTTTGAACCACTGGACCAATTTGTATGATTTTGACGTATGTTTGTATTTGGAGTATGCTGATTCTGAAAATGTATGTGAATGTGATGCATACTTTTCAAGTTATAAATAATGTGGAAAAATTGTATTTCTCTGCTTGTGCTAAATTACATTGTGTAAGGTAATTGAATCGCATGCAGAGGGGAGGAATTTGTGTGGGAGTGTCTGAGTTTATTGTATGTGTTTATTGGTTGTGTTCCAAAACCCTGTGGGTGGTATTAATGTGTAAGAATGTGTACATAAGCACAATAAACCCACAGCTCTGTCTGTTCACTGCTTGACCCTCAACACGGAGCCTTGTCTCGTTCTTGGGTGGATTTACTGTATGCTGTTAGAGACTGATTGCCAGGAGTGTAAGCTGCTTGGGTGCTTTTCCTGTTCAGCTGCTAGCAGCTATTCGTGAGGTTCCAGTTCGAGAATTTGGAGTGCTACTTGGTATCCTGTTCGGGAGTTTGGTGTTCTGCAGTAGCTTTGCCTGCATCTCTGGAAAGGGGGACGATCGCCTAAACGTTTTTTACCCCTTGTGAGCAAAACGGTCCGTTACACATGGCAACTAGCGTGCCACTGCAAGCCACACGCCACTACTCAGAGGATGGAGAAAATAAGGTTTCGACAGCTATAACTGGCAGGATATGACTGGAAGATCTCCCCTTGCTATTTGATATCCCAAATCCAACCAGTGTGTTGATGGGGGAATAAACAAATAAGCAGCCATTAGGTAAAAGGTAAAAATGCAGCATAGAGTATTCACAATGGTAAATGCTAATTTTATATCTTTTATTGGAATCGAGTTCTCAGTACGGAATACACATAATATGACTTACATATTGACAGCAACTTCAAATACTTTATGATTGAAGATGAAGCGAGACAGATATTTTGAGTGGTTTTATGTTACTGGTTGTGTTTTCCGAACGTTTATTCCACATTTCTGTAACTCTGTAGATCAAATCCATATCCCCTTAAGGACACATGACGGAAATATTCAGTCATGATTCCTTTTTATTTCTGAAGCTGTGTCCTTTGGGAATATTTTTGTCAAATGGGATGGAAAGTACAGTGTTGCAGATGTATTGGCGGTTCAGGCGATGGAGAGAGCTATAAGAATACTGCTCAGGTATGTGGAGGCTCTCAAGAGATGTTGTTAAAGAGTTAGCCATTAGGGTTCTCTTAACATACAATACAAAGGGTAGTTTAATTAAATATGGTAACAAATCAACATTAATTAAATAAAGGAGAACTGTCACTCCCTACGACTTTTGAAATTTTTGAGATTCTTTATTTTTGTGTGCAGCAGGGTTTAACGGGCTCACAGAGCCTTGACATTTATATCAAACAGTGAATACATACTATGTGTAATAACGTCCCGGCTCTTTGAATACATGTACAATTTTTGTTTTAAGGAGGTCCTAGGTAACCTACGCAGGTGCATCACTATTCTGAGTTTCATGAGCCGTATGGGAATGCAATAGAAATAATCGTTAACATATTAAACTTAGGTACATATATAGGGGACAAGCCTGCCTGCCAGCTGGGGGCTAGTGGTGAGGGACCATGAGTGTTGGGCTTCAGGAGCTTGGGCTAGAATTACACCACCTTCTCACTGTTGTTGCTGGTCTTTGGGGTCGAATGTATCAGAGGCCGGGGGGTGAGGTTGCCAAGGCTGGGCTTATGGCCAAGAGTGGCCCGTGCGTGTCTGAGCCGTGGTTTGGGCATGAGGGCGACTATACCGGAGAACTCAAAAAAGAAAAACTTAAAGTACAAAAGAAGAAAGAAAAGGGATCAACTGAGTGTGGTCTAACTAACTTCGAGCTGCATGTAAGTCCTTTGCGTACAGGGAGAAGAGTCCTTATCGCCTGCTGTCCACCTCAGGTTATTGCCGCGGCAGTTACCGTGGGTGCTTTTTCCTTAGGGTAGAATGGTGTTATAGCGTTCGGTTTCCAACGATGAGTTGCTGACTTCGTAGCGTGTAGTGAGTCCCCTTGCAGGCCTAGTTTGGGGAGGAAGGCGGGTACTTCGGAGATATCTGTGTATCGCATCTCCATGATTTTTTTATATTGAGCATACTTATCCCTACATTTCATAAATATGTATTTGTGAGGTGTAAAAAATAAAATTATATGTAGAAATTCATACCAAATAGTGATAGTTATAGTTAGTGATAGTGATAGTTATAGCGGTGTCATTTGCACCTGGCAATCAGCATAGAGAAAGCATACACAGAACATTCCTATTTCTACTCTTCATTTGCAATGTCCTGGTTTTGCCTTGTCTGAACTGGGTAATGATGTAATTTGCTAAAACGTCATATAATATAGATTTAAAAGAAAACAGAGCATCTCATGAAATGAAAAATCTTAAACTTTATAGGCGATTTCAATGTTTTATTCAATGTAGAAAAATGACCGTTCTCTCCAAATCAAATTTATTTATTACCTATTTATTTATTTATTACTGGTATTTATAAAGCGCCAACAGATTTAGCAAATTATAGAATTTGGCCTAAATAATTAGCAGCATTCTCACAGCATCAAAATAATTAGCTGCTTTTTGCATGGAAAATTTTGGATAGTTCTTGCCTAACAAAAATAAAAAATGGATACACTACAATTTGTATTTGGTTTTGTATTAAACAGTAATGTTACAGTGCTGCTGTCCACCCCACGTATTTCCTATTAAAGGTTTAGGGGTTAAAAAAATACCCCTATGTATCTCATTATAGATTTTGTCTTCTGGGTGACAGAAGCATGATGAATTGTTAGTGGAGGACTCTTACACTTTAACGGCCATTGGAGTCATACTAAAGTCCTCTATATATATTTAAATGTGAGTAGGCTTTTGGGATAGTGTGCATGCTACTTTTTTTGTGTTTTTGTATTGGTAATTTCCTGCCTTGGTAGCCTTTTTGAATATGATAAGCAATATAAATAAAAAGGGATTCTTAAGCTGAAAAATACAGTTTTCACACTTGGAATTTTCCTTTGATTCACTGTAATTTTATTTATTTAAAAAAAATATATATTTTTGCTGTGCATATTGATGAAACAAACAAGTTTGTGGTGCCCCAACAGCATTCCACTTGCTTAGGTCAGAAACAGTTGTAACAGTGAGGCATGTGGTATCAGCACAATTTTACATTTGAGGCAAGATAACGTGCATGCTAAGACGGCAATTTTTAAGAGTATTTTATGGTATAATTGTAGCTTGGTGAGCTGTATATAGGGGCTGCAGCGGTGGTGTATGTTCCCCTCTAGGAGGGTTGAGTGACTCCTGTCTGTAGGACGTGATGTGGGTCTATGAGTGATGAGCTATCATCCTTTAAAAGAGAGTTATGGGCTAGCTTTTAGGCTTTAAAGAATACAGGGATATAGTCAAAAACTAAATTTGTTAGTCCTTGGATTGAAAACCAGACCAAATCTGACAAGGTTCTATGTATTAAAAACCATGTACCACAACACTATGGTATCCCATAATAAATGTTCTGAAAAGTATATTGGAGGATAATCTCTTGAGGACATTTTATCATAATTGTAAATAATGCAGCTGCCATACTTAGTTTTCTTGTTAAACCTAGGTTAGGTCCCCTTATGTTGGGGTTCATAGATTAACCCTGTGCAACTATGTGATATGACCAAATCCCCATATTTTATTTCAGATTGGTGATTTTAGATACAGGGTCGGTGCAGGTTTATTTTAGGCCAAAATGCATTTTGCAGCAACCCCCCTCTTCTCCAAAATATGCATATTTACCTGTGTGTCTCGTAACTGTCTTACCCCTTTTGCCCATTTGTGTGTTTCACACTCCCTTTATTGTGTCCCACACCCTCTTGTTTATCTCTTATTTCCCCACCTGTCCATTTCTGTGTCACTGTGATTTAGTGTGTGGGGTATAGACTTTATTGTTATTATTAATTATAAAGCACCAAAAATTCTGTAACGCTGTACAATATGACTTTAGTGAGGTGGGATTGGGGCAGTATTGTGTGGGACAGGGGCTTTATTGGGGGGAGTCAGCGGCAGTTTTGAGGAATAGAGGCAGCATTGTTGTGGGGGTAGGGGCTTTAGAGTGGGGGAATAAGATCAGTATTGTGGGGATTGGGGTTTTATTGTGATAGGGACAGGCTCTGTATGGGGGATTGATTCTTTATTATTGGGGGGATGGGGGAATATTGTAAGGGATAGTGGCAGTATTGTGTGGGGATTAGAAACAGTATTGTGGGAGGTAGTAGCTGTATTGTAGGGGGATAGGAGGTTTGGGTGGAGGGATAGGAACAGTATCGTGGGAGGTTGGGGCTTTAGTGGGAGTAGTGACAATAATGTGGAGGACTGGGGCAATGGTGGGAGGGGATAGGAACAGTATTGTGGGGGGATAGGAACAGTATCGTGGGGGAGTGGGGCTTTAGTAATGGAGAGAGTGGCAGTATTGTGGGGGAATGGGACTTTAGAGGGGGGGATAAGGGGCTGTATTGTGGGGGCACACACACACACACAGTGAAACACTGACACACACTCAAACACAATCTCACACACTCACAGCCATTCTTGCACATATACACACTCAAAAAAAATTGTATGAGATGATTTTTCTTAAATTCACCCAGTCTCCTTACCTTTAGTAGAACTGGAGTGGATCCACAGCCTGGTGTCCAGTAGGCTGCCACTGCGTTCCTCTGAGGGAGCTCAGATCCATGTCAGCATTGCCTTGCAGCACCCTTGCGCGCCCTATAGTGGTGCCTGGGCCAGAGTGATGTCCCATTCCATCTCCCAGGTCCTCTACAGGGAGCGCAAGGCAATGCTAAAATTGATCGAGTTCCCACCATCGGTCCCAGGCCCATACAGCAATGAAGGCAAGACGGCTTTTTTTTGAGTAGGGGAAGCACGGTCATGACCCCTATAGCGACGTCACTGTGGAGGTTGGTCTGTAAAAAGGTACTGGCGCTTGGCCACTCTACAAGAGGTGACCGTCAGGAGGAGAGCGCTGTGTGCTCCCCTCTTGCCAGTCACTCAGACATCTGCACCCGCAGGCATTGAGCCCTAAGGGGGCAGTCTTTGCCACCTCATGGTAGCGCTGGCTTTGTTTAGATTACATTGAAAGATTTGAAACTGTTTGTTTTATGGGTAATTTATTTTAGTGCAGTTTGTTCACTTGCAGAAACTAACCCTAAGCCAAGGGAAACCTTGGCATTACATACCTTGCCATTTCTTAATTCAAGTCTTATGGAGTAAGAGGTTTGCACTTAAAGGGACCCTCCACTGCCCAAATACAAAATAAATTTAAATCACTGGTTAGTAGATATACCCCAAATGAAGACTTACATGCTTTTAATTATGCATGTTTTCATTGTGGTAAAGCTAAAAACAGCTTGTAAACCATGCAGTTCTCATGACTGTTGCCTTTGCAAGCCCTCCTCTTCTAACCCCGCCCAGACTTTCTGTGGCTGTCCAATCATAGACTTCCCAATGCAGCTTAATTAAAAGTCTAGGTGCTCTAGGCAATTACTGCATCCAGTATTTACCTCCACTGAGCTAAACGAGCCAGGAAGTAACAGGACCTGTTGTCTGATTTACAGCCAAAGGGGTTAATTTATAAAATTGTAAATTTCTATTTTCTTATTGCAAAATAAAAAGAAGAGGACACACTCTATACACATAAAGCATTTCATCAAGCTAAAGTGCTTTAGGAATCTGGAGTGTCCCTTTTAAGAGTCGATTACACTATCTTTCTGTGCATCTATCTTAATATCTAATGCATGTGTGTTTGTGTTAAGTGGCAAACTAATTTAACTTTCAAAATGTACTTGCTATGTAGTCGATTTCCAAATTATTATTATTATTTTTTTAAACTTAAGCTTCCTCTGTGGTATAATAAAATAGGATTTCACTAGGAAAATGTGTTTATTTAAGCAAGTCTCTAGTTCAATAGCCTTATTTAATTATGGTTTATGATTCCCCATCAAGTTTGGAAATTAAAATCTTTGTTTATAATTAAAAAAAACATTATTTTTGAAGGTTTTACAGATTGTGGATTAATAAAATCCTGCAACAAGTCTAGTCCATTCTCTAATTTCCAGCAAATTACCCAGATGGCGTACAAACACTCACGTTTCACCTATTTATGTAAGGTGCCAAGAAATTGCCTTTAATACAGGATACTATTTCTGCGGTTGGTTGTGGAGTCTAATATCATTATATGATTTAAAGGGAAGAGATAATTTTATTTCATTAAGTGAAATTATTAGTAAAACAAGTAATAATATGCATTACTTGCCTTGTGGAGTGTACAGTCTAATTAGCACATTTGCTGGTTCTGGTGATAACGTCAATCATATTTGAATGTTAATTTCAGAACTGGTGTCAATCCTTTGTATGTTTTTGTTTTTTCAATATATGCGAATGAGTGAACTAATGAGAGCAGTGAAGCGTCATGTACATTTTTCAAGCAGTTGGCCATCTCCTGCAAGACTGATTATCTCTTCTATGCGTCTACCTGTGAACAAGCCGTTTTTCTTATCTCCAGTGATACCATTTGGTATCCAGTTAGTACAGACTCGTGAAAACTGCTATTAGATGGTGACTGTCCCAGGGCCAGAATTCTCAAAAGGCTTTCACTTAGAGCAGGGTTCTCCTAACTCTGGCCCTCCAGATGTTGCTGAATTGCAACTCCCATGATTCTCTGGCTATCTATTTCATTCAAAGAATCATGAGAGATGTAGTTTAGCAACATATGGAGGGCCAGAGTTTGGAGAACACAGACTTAGAGTGTCAGGTGTAAGGGTAAGACCACCACAAATGCATAGCTACTGTAGGCAGAAACAGACACTGACAAAAATGAACAATGAGAGACAGAGTTTTCTGTTACTGCACATAAACAAATGAGATTGTGAAGGCTCACTACTGCTGATATTGTCTGTCTCACT